CCCCACAAGAAAACAAATCTAGAAGGCAGCGGGGCACGAACCACCCGAGGAACGATGAGGAAAGGAGATTCCTACCTGAACAGCTGTGGCCGGAGGGAGATAGAGGTCGAGGCTAGGGTTTCGCTGCTGCGGCTGCGAGGTCGAGACGGATGGGGATGACACAAGGGAGGCGGGGGTTTATGACCACTCGGAGTCGAAGGGGAAGACCCGAAAGAAAGACGACCGGGACCGGAGCGCATCGGTTTGGGTCCGAATTCTCAATGACTGTGGGCCAGGTACGGCAAGCCCGCTCGCCTCTTCACTCTTCTGGATTTTTTGGGCTCGTTTCTGTGTCGGGCCACATTCAGCAAGACGGAGATGGGCCGTGGGAACGTCAGGTTGGCCGATATTGGAGGTCTGTTGCCTTTCCACTGCTTGCTTTGCCCGGCTAGGTAAGAAACCGACGCTACTATTCTGTGAACAACCGCTGGTCGGTCACCTTTTTTCGGATTTTTTTCAGAAATTCCAGGGCACATGTATGCGTGCGCGTTCGGTCATACTATACGTTTTCCGTGTACTGGAGGCGACTCCTCCTAATCTCTTCTTTACGTGTGTACGGACGTGCACGCGTGTATATGCGTGTGGTATAAGTGTGGAATGCATGGGTTGTATGCGTCCAAGTTGTACCCGATCAAAAAAAATGCCGACCTCCGGTGACTTTTCATTTCAGAGAGAAAATATTTCCATAACTTTTCTTTTTTTTAAAGACTTTTCGTTATCGCGAAAATTTATTTTTGCAACTTTTCTTTTTTTAATAAAAGTTACAACAAATAAAGAAAATACTCAATCCATTCCAAATTGTAAGACGTTTGACTTTTTTGACACCAAGTTTGACCACTCGTCTTATTCAAAAAATTATGTAAAATATCACTTCTTTCATCGTGGTTTGGTTTATTAATAAAAATTCTTCAAGAATGACTTAAATTTGATTATATTTGCACAAATTTTTTTAATAAGACGAGTGGTCAAACTTGGGAGCCAAAAAAGTTAAACATCTTACAATTTGGGATGGAGGTAGTACATCGTAAAAGAAATTTATATTGCGTGGAGATCCTCAAATACACCATAGATCATCCCATGTATACTATGAACATGATAAAATATATCGTAAAACATCACATGCTAAGTGAATATTACAAGATAATACTTCATAAATCTATGTATACTAGGTGGACATCTAAAATAACATCACATGTATAATAAATGGACATCACAAAATACTCTGCAGAACATCACATTACAAAATGCATCGTAGAACCAGCACCAACGACTATCAAGTATCGGTGAGACTGGAGTGGGATCAAAGTAAGAGACAGAGAAGTTGTAAACTTTCGGATTTCGGCTCCAACAACTATCAAGTATCCTTGGCCACTGATGAGTAAAAACGTAACAATTTGTAAACGAGGAAGTCTGCACGAGGGCACTGAACCAATTTTTATGCAGATGAAACGTAAAGGCATGAACAAAAATAAAAAACAAAACCAAATGCGCCGTCAGCCGTCCCACGTGACCATAATAAGTATGCAACATATGTCTTGTTCGCTTGATAAATAAGTTATGGCTAAAAATATTATTAACTGATTTATTGTGATAGAAAAATATTGTTAGATAACTAACAAAAATATAGCTTATAAGCCCAGCAAACGAAATGGGGATAAGGTCGAAAGTTGAAACGTAGAAATGATCGGCGGCTTTTTCGCAGCAAGTCGATGATTTCGTTTCAGCTCAATTAACCAACAACACGCCACGTTTGGTTAAAAAAAAATCCCAAAAAATGCTAAAGTAGTCATCACATCGAATTTTGCTATACGTGTATGAAGCATTAAATGTAGACGAAAAAAACTAATTGCACAGTTTGGTTGAAAATCGCGAGACGAACGTTTTGAGTCTAATTAATCCATAATTGAATATTAATTGTCAAATAAAAATGAAAGTGCTACAATATTCAAATTTCTAAATTTCATCTAACTAAACACAGCCTAGAGGACAGTACTAGTAATATACAACAAGTACAAACACGAGCCCGCGGAGGCACCGACCAGGACAACTTTACCGCTTTCTTTTTGTTTTTTGATTGAAAATTTGAAATTCTGAGGCACACTTTATAGGAGCGGTCCTTGCTTGTTTGTACTGCATTGGTGTTCAGGACGATGGGATCAGTAGTCCAAGACTCCTAGTCCACTCGTACAGCGTGTACCGTACTGTGTACGCGTAGACTGCTTCTGGTTCTGGGGTGGAGTAAAAAATGGCGGAGCGAAACAGACAGAGGCCACCGACGAGACGAGAGGCAGGGGAAGAGAAGAGTACAAGCACGCACATGGCCCGACGCAGCACAGAAGCTTCAGCAGCCCCTCATCACAAAACGACGAAGCAAACAGTAGATTAAAGGTAAGGTTTAAGGCCTTGTTTAGTTTCAGATGATAAAATTTTGGTCCGTCACGTCGAGTATTACATGAAGTGTCGTATGAGTTGTTTGATGTTAATAAAAAAATAAATTATAGAATTTGTCAGTAAACTTCGAGACGAATTTATTAAACATAATTAATTTATCATTAGCACATATGTTACTGTAGCACTTTGTTGTCAAATCATGAGCTAATTAGGCTTAAAAGATTCGTCTTGTAAAGTAGTCGTAATCTGTGTAATTAGTTTATTTTTTAATCTATATTTAATACTTCGTACATGTATCCAAACATTTAATGGGATATGATGTAAACTTTTAGAGAGAAACTAAACAAGGCCTAAATTCAGGAAATAAAGTTTAGAATATCACATCGAATGTTATATCAAGATGTCACATAAGAGTATTCGAATAGTAATAATAAAATAAATTATAGAAGTCCTTAGTAATTCGTAAGGCGAATTTATTAAGCCTAATTAATCCGTCATTAATGTATAGTACCATAGCATCACATTGTCAAATCATATACTAATTAAGTTAAAAATCCATCTCATAAATTAGTCGCAATCTGTGTAATTAGTTTTTTTTTAATTCTATATGTAATACTCAGTGCTCCACGCGATTTACACACGCGCTTTTGCACCCACGCCCCTGGCAAACCACGCATTACACAAAACAACCCAACAGCCGGCCCGGCCGGAGATCGCGCCGACTACCGCCTGTCCGCCGCCCCGCTGCAACCGCCGCTCTCGGCTCCTCCTACTCGTCGTCGCTGCCGTCGCCGCCAAAGAGCGAGGAGCGGTAGTAGAGCAGAGCGAGGATGAGGAGGAGCATGAACGCGACGCCGACGGGGGAGCCTCCCACGCGGTGGACGGCGTCGGGGGACCCGCCGAAGGCGAAGACGTCGGCGAGCGCCGCGGCGCCGCGGTCGGAGGAGAGGAGGCGGATGAGAAACAGCAGGCACACGGGGAGGAGGAGCAGCCCCACGGGGCTCAGCAGCTCCGCCACGGCCTCCGTCAGCGCCTCGCCGCCGTCGCCCAGGAACAGCGGGCCCGCCACCACCAGGCCCACCACCACCGCCAGCAGCAGGCCGTGAGGCGCGCCGCGCGGGCCCGGACCGCCGTAGTAGTACTCGTCCCCAGCGCCAGCCATTGCCGCTGCCTGCTCTTTCTCGCTCGCTTGCTTTCGCGGTGGTGGTGGTGGTGATGGTGGGAGACTGGGAAGTGAAGAAGATTTTAGAGAGCGGTGGGGGGTGAGTGTGAACGACTGAATGAGAGTGAGAGTCACGTGGGAGGACTGAGGAGTGGTACTGGTAGTGGTAGATCACACGGGGACGGGGACAAGGGGAAAGGGAGGACGACAGGTTGGTGGCCAAGAGAAGTGGCCGGGCGATGGCTCGTTCCAAATTCTCTCGTGTGTGTATACAAGTAGGAGTACAATGCAAATCTGCAATGCACCACTGAATCGCAGGGTTACACTGCATGCATTTCTTAATTCTGGTGAGGAGTGAGGACAGTTCAGGCCTTCAAGCTTGAGAAACTACTCATTGCCTGCACAAGCAGTCCTTACCTGTCAGATCAGCCGACAATTAGCATGACATTTCAGATCTCGGATCCTGTCAGTTTCAGGCTTCCAGCATGTGAGCTTGCCTCGTCGCCCCTAGCGCTTCTCGGGGTAAATATACAGCATGTGGGCTTGCCTCGTCGCCCATCAGCCTGCTCGGTTGACCTGCTTCGTTTCGTTGTTGTTTGTGAAGATGTACCGCTGCTTCGTTTCGTTGTTGTTTGTGAAGATGTACCGCTGGCTGGTTTGTGTGAGAGAAAAATACTGTTCTGACTGAAAATTTACGGTCATTTACGACAAGCCACAGCCCAACGAACAGGCTGCATATGGCTTCTCAGGGTAAAATATAAGGATACGCTCCCTCCGTTCCGCTTTTCTGGAAAAAAAACTTTGACTAAATATATATTAAAAAATATTAATATTTATGATACATAATTAGTATTATTGGATAGATATTTGAATCTAGTTTTTTAATAAATTTATTTAGAGATAGAAATGTTACACGTATTTTCTATAAATCAAGTTAAAGTTATCAGCACGTAAATCATGACGACTAATATTTAGGAACGGAGGAAGTAAATGGCGGCGGCTAAACACCTACCAGGTCACCAGACTGAAACCAAGAGCTTGTCTAGGACCGCTAACGCTCTATCTTTTTCAGCTCTGCTTTCAATTTCGTAGCCAAACATGCTCAACGAACTCTGCTCTCTGCTCTATAAAAAAAAGATGGAGTTAAGAACTTTATTGGTTGGCGTCCCTTTAATTGTGATTTAGTAGTAGATAGATTTGTTGAGGACATAATCTCCTGGCCTTGAGCACATCTAATGGTACTCCAAAAACTCTGAAAGCCGCTCCATGGTGGAGTTGAGCAGAGCAAAATTTGGTGAAGTCCCAGACAGACCCTAAAGCACCCCACTCAGCTTACTCATCAAAGAATACAGAAAAAAAAACAGCACCCATATGGCCATAACAAACCCTACAAACATGAGGAAGATCATCATGCCAACCCAATACCAGTACCAGCATAACCAAACAAAGCCTTTGTAGTTGTGTAGGGCATCATGTCCGTCCCTCTGAAACCCCGACAAGAATAAGAAATCTTAGACTGCGAACCAAAAACTATTCCCAAACCTGAGTCGTAACTCAAGAGGTAAGCATCCGCAAAACATGTTTACACTTTGTGGCAAGGAATGCAATGCACCTTCAGTCACAAAATTGGCATGAATGCATCACATTGTAGGGCACAAGGCCCGTTGGTTTCAGCATGAAACATCCAGGACTGTCAAAACACCTGCGTCTGCCTTCGCATTGTCGGATACATCTAAAATCCTATACCTCCATCTCATCCTCGGACTCATCTGTGGCATCAGCATCATCCTCATCTTCTTGTCCTACTTCTTCCCCAGTTTCTGTTCCTTTCTTTCCCACCACTTCCTTCTCCACTGTATCATAAAAAGGAAATCAGTCAAAAAAAACAAAGATGCATCAATACTTGGGAACAATTTAAGGTGTTCAAAGCATTAAATGGAACTCACCAGGCCATGGGTATAAGACATCTCCTGAACATAGCCCAGCTTCTACTTTAACTAGGCGCATAGTCATCCTTGGTCCAATCTCCTGGAGTCTGACAGCACTTTTTCTCGATGCCCGGTTTAATTTGTCAACATCACTTGGCAGGTTTACCATTGCTGCTTCATCATCTACTTCACTTTCTGATCCATACCCAGCTCTGGCAAATGTGTACACAAAATTAAATCTGAGCAAAATGTATTGGTGCACTGCTTTTTTAAACAAAAACACAGCACCAGGTGATGATATTTGTTGGATCACAGTTATTGAACCTATAAAAGTAACAACCTGGACCAAAATAATCTGTGGACAGCAAACTAGCAAATGAAAATTTGAAAGGTAAAAGATAATGGCATTAATGGTTTATAGGACATGCACAGCCAGAGAGCATTTCAGATGAAAAACGAGACACTTGCTGACTCTAAGTCAAAAGATCTTTACTCATTACTATTTCTCTAAAACATAAAATTCACTATCTGAAGTTCAATGCCTGCTAGGTGCCGAGTCCGATGCCTAGTCTTTTCACTTAGTTTTCTGGCTCATAAAGGTATGCTCAACTGTACATAGTTAGCCATGTGATTACCTCGTAGTTTCCATCTCATACACTGACATGATCCTACTTTGGTATTTCCAATATTTTATCATGTCTAATCTAAATATAAATTTTGCTTGCTAATTTGCATCCACTGAATGGAATGATTATATTATAGTAACTAAATCATGTCGGCCATATATTTTACTCCTTTTTTCTACTTTATTACTCCTCTGTTCTTTGCTAAAAACAAAACATATCCTATTTCTTAAAGTTCAGGCAATGGGTGCAACATATATAGCTCTAGAATTCGACAAATAGGTGGTTATAGCAAATCTATTTGGATCATAAGTTCAGATTATAGAGGTGTCAGTAATATTGTATTCTCAAAACTAAAGCACTTGATAGTTTCCGTTGCATTCATGAACACAATTTACTAATTTACTCTTTTTGGCTGAAGCCTTCTGCATATGCTACCTATGTTGAGATCAAGTGTAGTTTTACATGTAGAGCTTAACATGCCACCACTGTAGCTAATGAATGGAAGGCCTGATCAGTTGCTTGGCCTTCAAGACTTCTTGTATGAAGAGCTTGTGTGTTAGCGGAACAGTGTCAAATATAGCGAATGCACATAATTGATCAGTATCTGTTTGGGCAATGTCAAATATAGTAGTACCCTACTACCATGCAACTAGGCCTGGTAATGGGCTGTGAAAATCCGAGGGCCAAACTCGAACCCCAACTCGTGGACTGTCTTTTATGAATTATCTATGGGCATACAAAGAAAGGGCTGGATTGGATCAGACTGTCTTGGAACTTGGAAGGACTCTACATGGATCGGATTCTCAATGTTGGCCCGTGTAGCCGCGTGGATCATTACAAGGAGTCGGCCCTTGGATCGGAGGTATGGGCCTTCGTGCCTCTTCCATCCTCTCCGATAGGAGATAAGCCTCCCAGTGCTAGGGCATCACAGTGGCGACAGCGCATCGCAGTGAGGCATTGCCTCTTTGAGATCCCTTGCCATCTGATCCAGGGTGTCAGCTCCTCCGTCCGCAGGCTTGGCCTCTCCACCATTAGTGACCAACCCAGGTACAGATAATTGCTCCCATGTTCTTGAACGGGGAACGAATCCAACTGCGTGTTCTTGATCCCCTGACCATGTTTTAGCAATTTAGAGCTGGGAGACTATTTTCCTCTCTAGTGTTGGCATAAAAATTAAAACAAGGTCTGGTGATGTCTAAGAAGTACTTGTACTCTTTCCCCATATCCTTTTCTATAAAAGCTATTTCTTTCCTTCAGGATCTTGTATTGTATTCATGTGTCCATAAAACATACATTCCAGCTTGTCTTTGTTCTTTGCTGTTCATTTGTTCAGACTTTGGAGCTGGCTTTTAGCACTTCCAGCCTTCCAGGAGTTCAAAAACCACAAAGCAGTTTCCCTGGTGCCTTTTGGGATGCTGTTTTGAAATTATATTTTTAAATGTTTTAATAAGGACTACATGTTATGTACTGTTGCTGGTGATGGAGCCAATTGCCACCTCACTCATGGTCATGGAGAAGATGTGTATGTTTGCACAGCCTTGCTGATCTTTTTCAATGCTACTAATACAGCAAACATTGTAACTCGCTAGTGGTCATTTTTCTAAGTACAAAGGTATGCCTTACTATACATTCAGGCAAATCTGTGCCTTATTTATAGCCAGCAAGTATTAATTTATTATTTAATTCTTTTCCCTTTCTTCAGTTTCAAATGGAGCTTAGGAGGAGTGAAACTTTGAGCATTCATGGCCTTTCATTCTTCTATTTTTGCTATTATGATTTATGCAAAATTTAAGCAGACTGCTGTAGTAATTTCATAATATTATTTGTGATTGTAAGCAAATAAGCACTTTTGTATTTTTGTTTGTGACTAATAAAGTAAGCACTTACTCAAACTGAAAGCAGGCAGTCAATGCGCTGCATAGGTGCTCAACGGACGCATAGATTTACTAGTATGCAGCCAGCCGGCAGGCCAGCCCTAACAACACATCAACCAGCGAGTGCAGACTAGATGGATTCCAAACATTGTAAAAGGATTGGACTCAAACATTAGAAAAGGATCGTGCCCAAGGATCTAAAAGGGCCAGGACGGGAGCAGGATATACTTTTAAATGGATAGAACTGGATCGGATTATATACCCATTAAAATATGAATTGGATTAGGATCAAGGCACTTCTGAAATATTTAGGGCTGAGGTGGGGTTAGGGCTGGATCATGATCCATTACCAGGCCTAAGTGCAACCCTTCTAGTGCTATAACAACTTGTAAACTAAAACACCAACTTATTCAAGTTGCAGAGCCCATCTCAGTTGTTCTTTTAGAGTAAGTTATGCTACTATAAAACTAGAGCTGCATTAGTACAGCACATTCCCCAAATTCTATGCTCTACAGTAACTTCCTTTCTACCAGTTTTTTGGACTTAACTGGGTTGACTACTATAAACTTCACAAACATTAGTAACGAGTGAATAGTATGAAAATAATATTATCAACGTTATTCAGAAGAGATATGAGGGCGAGTATTGCCTATTTAGCTGAGAGAGATGTTAATAAATAAGCTAAAGTGCAAAAAAAACCACCCCCAACCCGCAACAAAAAACCCAAACCAGAGAGCACTTACATAATAATTGGAAGATGATAATGATATTGACATAATATGAAGTATTTCATGTTATTTCGCGAAACCATCTGCACTTCTGACTGTTGTTATGTTGAACTTCTATTGTGCCCCCAAGAAGGAGCATTAATTTATCACAACATTTACTGGCATCCCATGTACTAGTTTAAATCTGTGTTGTTAGCTTTCACGGTTTTTCTATGCAAATCATCTTTTCTCGGAAACAAAAATATATCATTGCAATATAATAGTTAAATGACAAGATAGTACTTACTTTGTCACGAAATCACTAACATCTTTATATTCTCGTAGATCAGGCACTTGATTGTTTTGCATGAGCTTTCTAATCCTGCGACTAACACCAACAGGCTGGAGCTTGATGGAGTAATGCCGGAATTCAATAACATCCTTCTCTTTATCATGTTTTAACAACAGAATCCTTTGGCATGTTGCCAGCTTGACCTATTATGCAAAATACTGTTTAATTATCTGATTATGCCAGAAAGAAGGCATTAAGTTTCATCATGATGTTATCGTCCGATACTTACAGTGCTTGGGTCAACAGCAGGGAACATATGCTGGAAGTATTCAACCAAACTCCTGAAAGGGTTGCCGAGACCTGTCAACCCACCAAGTACAACCTACCAAATCCATGAGTTCAACATTAAAACAAGGTATCAGTGAACAATATCCACATTAAAGCTACCCTGATACAAAATTATCCACAGCAGTTTCATATACCAGTGGTGAGTTCTGGAATATCCCTGGTGGGCACCTTGGGCGCTTCTGGGAGTTTGCAATGTCTGCCGCAAGTGAGTACTCCTCTATCTGAAATGTGAATGTTGGGCCCTGCGGTGATTTGGCAAAGCGCAAATGTGGCAGGCTTTTGGGGTTTGAGAGGATTAGGAAATGTGTCACACCCAACGGACCGGCAACATTGACAAAGTCCTTGAGGTTATTTCGCTTCTTCTCCTGCCAATTAATTGTTTTATAAGCATGTGAGGCACACGAATGGGGGCAATCATCCATCCAGTGCTAATATACGCTAGTATGGCATAGGGACAGGGAACTAGGGATGGACCTTGAGATTGAGGGCAGTGTAGGGGAGCATGACCTTGCGGAGGTCCTGCTGGAGGTGGCGGAGCGTGGGGGGGAGTTTGCCGCGGGAGAAGACGAAGCTCTTGGGAATCTTGGCGCCGGTGATCTGGTCAACGTTCGCCAGCGCCGCCTTCTGCTTCCGAAGCGTCGCCGCGGGGATGCGCGGCCCGCGGCCCCGCCTCTTCCCCGGCCCGGACCGTGGCTGGCGCATGGCGGCTCAGTTGAACGAACACACAAATGATGGAAGAAGCCCCTAATTGAGGATCTACACCCCATATTTTTGCAAAGAAAAAAAAACGAAGTTAGTAGCCATAATACGTTTACCTGTAATGAAATCGGATCCGAATACAAATAGCCAAATAGCTTAAGTTTAGGGTTTGGGTACTCGGTTTCGCACAGCGGTAAGGGAAGAGAGGGGCGGGCATACCTTGTGGGTGCTCGTCTCCGGCGAAGTGCCCAGGCGTAGGGCGGCGGCGGCGTTATAGCCCAGTGGTCGCAGATAGGAGAGCCAGAGCGAGCGCGAGTGCGAGGGGTGAGCGGCGGCGGTGGTAGCCAAAACCCCAGTCCGGGCCTCCGGGGGTTGTTTGTCTGAGGGGAGCGCACCCACGCGGGCTTCTCCTGGGCCGTTTTTCCTGGGCCGTTCCTTTTTCACGCAATTCTTTAGCAGTTACTTTGTTTTTCTTAGTTTTCTTTCTCTTGTTGCTCAAAAAAAAAGTTTCCTTTCTCTTTTTTATTCTTCTTGATTTCATATTTATTCTTTTCTTGGAACACTTCCAATGACTAGTTAAACATTGGTTTTTAAATTTGTGAAATAATAATAATATCTAACGCAATATCGCAAATGAGCAAAAAGAGCATGTTTTATTCTATTAATGTAGAACATCTTTTCCCTATTGAAGCAAGCAACATTTTCTAATAAAACTGAAATATTTTTTGTAGACCTAGAAATTTGCCCCATGATCTATGACACTTTTCTCCTAAACTTATAATTTCTTCTTGAGCTTGAGTTTTTTCTAGTGAGCTCGGAACATACTTTCACTCAATAAAATATTGTTCTAATTCGTTAAAAAAATGTTATTCGAGAAAAAAGTCATCCAAATTTAGTCAATTGGAGCATTTTTTTCAAGCTTTCAATGTATTAAAACATGAAATTACCATCGAATTTTAATTTATATGGACCTTTGAAAAACTATGTCACCTGTGACAATGCTATTAGAGATCAGAAGGTGAAACTCTCACACCACGTTCGTGCCTCGCATGTGCATCGACGACGGCCGGGTCGTCAGTAACTTCGTCGCGCAGGTGAGTCGTGATTCCGGGCTTCCGGTTCCGGCCACGCACTCCACAGCCGGCGCAGGACGCGAACGCAACCATACGAGCTAGCGACTGATATGCCATTCCATGCTGCGTGGACTGCAGGCGCTGAGGAAGGATCCCTTGACGGTGTACGGCGACGGCAAGCAGACGAGGAGCTTCCAGTACGTGTCCGACCTGGTAATGCCAATGCAATCTCTCACACCACGCGATCGAGGCCCACAAACTAATCGGAGTATGATCACACAGGACACAGCCCCCTCGCTTAGCCTTATCGTATGTTAATGAGTGACGCAACACGTACTCCCTTACCAATCCCGTCGCACTCCACTCCAGTCTCGCTCCTGACCGAGACGCGGCCATGAGAAACACTGTGCATGCAGGCCTTCAATGGTTCGATTCAAAGTGCGCGCGGCCAGCTCAGAGCGAGACGTCCCATCAGCCGGCCTGCGTGCCCTCACCGCCAAGTGCAGTGCGAGGGGGGAAAGATCGGTTGAATTCAGAAGATTTGCAGGGTATATGTAGAAACTAGGGTAGGACAAGCAAGCAGAATAGCCGCAAATGCAGTGCAATTCGAAGATCATGCATGTGGCGAGCATCACGAGCTTGGGGTGCTTGATTATGTGGATGTGTAGCGAGCAAATTGCATGCGTAATTGTAACTCGTGCTGGAATGTATCAGCACGCACGCATGCTGAGCTTAGTAGGATGTAGTGCAAGTGTGCAACATATGGGCATGGCAGCAGTTATGAAAAATCACTTGTGCTGTTGTGCCATTGTGATTTGTTCATGCCTCGGCGTTGTGGCCGTGTGTTCGTCAGTCCCCCTTCATATATCATCTCCTACAACTAAAATGAATAAATTGTGGACATTTTTTTGTGCGATATTTGTTTTGGTTAGTCCGTCTGCCCACGCCTGCGATCTCATGACATCTCCTTGATTGAATATTGTCTGTCATGTGATAGAGGAATCACGGCAAAATAGAAAGTAGAAAATTATTGTGCTATCCATATACACATTGCATATTTGCATGCACCAGCATACATGGCAACGAGCAAAAGAAAAGAGAATTAAGACAAAAGGAACATCTTTGCATTTCTTAGAACCTTGCCAAATTTACCTATATTTAATTACTTCTCCTCTTTGCATTTACAAAAGGGACAGCTCTTTCCTCCTTTCATTTGGTTTCACGCTCACGTGTTCCATCGCCCTCGCTTGCTGTTTCTTGCGTGAACCATTGTTGATGTCATCTGTCTTCCACGGGTCAGCCTCCCAATCCCAAGAGAATGTCCCTACCTCTCCCTGACTGGAGATCCGGCCTGCCAGAGGATCTCCTCGAGTCCACCGGGCAGCGTCTCGCGTCAAGCCACGACGCGGCGTCCTTCTGATCCGCTTGCTCCCCATGGCGCGCCGCCGTCCCGTTCGCGGCCTTTGGGCTGGTCCTGCTGCTCCCATTCGACCCCGACTCGGACCGCGTCGGCTTCTACTACGTCCCGTAGAAGAAGGTCTTGTCAAGACGCTGCCCGACGTGTGCGGCAAGGTGGCGTGCAGCTCCTCGTGTGGGTGGCTGGCGCTCATGGACGAGGCGACGTCCATGACGCTGCTGAATCCATTCGTCGATGCCCGTGCCCCCGCGTTGAGCTCCCGCCAGCAGGCGAACACGTCACGGCGGCGTCCTCATCGGAACGCGTGTCTAGGGTCCACGACCGATGGGTCCTCCATCCCACCAACTGCTACAGGGACGCGGATGCCGCAAGCAGAGCCATCAAGCTAAAAGACATGAGGGACGTGTTCTTCCGTGAGATCGTGCTCTCGGCGCCGCCTGACCCCGCCGGTCGTGAGTGCGTGGCCATGGCCATGCTTGGGTGCTCCATATAGGTCGCGTTCTGCCTGGTTGGAGTCGACAGCGCGTGGACGCTGCTCGACACCAAACTGGAGTTCTCCGTGGGGTCCATCATCCACTGCCAAGACAAGTTCTTGGTGATCGACTGCAACGCCACCGGAGCTACTCCAACTGTGACGCTGCTGCCATCGTTGTCGCCACCTGCGGGGCTCTGCCACCGCAGCTATCTAGAATCAAACGGTGGGCTGCACATTGTGGGCGCCATTGTGAGCACGTTCCACGAGACATAGAGCTTCACCTACAGCAGCACGATCTACAAGTACAACCTCCACGACCGTACGCTGGAGTGGTACAGGGTGAGGGACATCGGTGATCAGACATTGTTCGTGTCTAAACATTTCAATGAAAGCTTCAGTGGAATAAGTGTATCCAAGTACAAGGAGAACAAAATCTACATGTCTGAGCCATTGTATGGGGATCCATACGACTTGGTCCATTGACTGAAGATCGTTGATATTGCTACCGGCGCATCCGAAGTGAAGCCCGACCAGGAAAAGATGCAAGGTTCCGAGGCTCTAGGTTGGATTCGACCCAATCTCTGGAAGCTCTAGAGTTTATAAGCTTGCGACGTCGCGCACTCCGTGACTGTGTTAAATTCATAAACTTTGTTTTTTGGATTAAATGTCACTTTAACGTTGGTATTTAATTTAACAGTATTGTTATCTTATCGTGCGATCCGTGTATTTTTAGTATAAATTGTTAGTTATCTCGTAGCAACGCACGGACACGCTACCTAGTAGAATATTATATAAAAAAATAGGGTCATCAAATGCTATATGATAAAACTAGAAAATACGAGATGTTGATTTGGACCTGATGGACAGGCGTTCCACTGCAAAGAACCTAGACCGTTGATTTGAACCTGATGGACATGTGATTTTTGCTCTTTAGCATGATTTTGTAACTTTAGTTGCCAAAAAACAAGAGCTCTCTTCGCTGGATGCCAATGGCGATGCTAACAAGAACACATGTCATGACTTACAATAGGACGCATTGGCCATGGCAATGGATCTGGGACTTCATATAAAAAACACTTCTCCTGTATTTCAAGTGTCTAGATTTTAAAATATTTTCAATCAACACTCTTATACAACTAACTACTACAAGTAAATTATTATTTTTGTGATTTGTTATTTGTCTTTATATCATAACATATTTTTTTTGTCCTTGTTCGACTATAAAAACAATTGTAAATTATTAATTGTCTTTATGCCAACCCAGATTAGGATTTGTCGGATTTGTGGTTTTGTGTAACTATTTTTTTATTCTTGGATCTAAAATTGCAGATTATTCCTACATAAATTGCAACAACTAAAATTGCAATTTAGTATAAAATATATGTAATAATCATCATCTGAAAGTAAGCTAAAATTCAGGCACCTAGATTTTAGCAAGACCCTGTAAAAAGTGTTTTTTTAGAATTAGGGCATGTTTGGCAGGGCTCCTCCTCGGCTCCTCCAGAGGAGCCCTGCCAAACACCCCCCCTTACGTAGTATAATGCAGACGCCCATAACACGCACACACACTTACCCCTATGAACACACGTACGCAAACCCTACCCCTATGAGCACCTCCGAAGGACTGAGCCGACAGATCTCGAGATTCACGAAGTCACCACTGGCGCCTCGCTGTTGACGGAAACGTCGCCTACAACTAAAAGCATAGCGCCATTAAATGCTAGAATAAATCCAGAAAAATGGTGTTACACCCTAAATCATTTGCTAAAATATGTCATGAGCATCATGTTTATGTGTTAATGCATGTGATAGAATGTGTAGATAAATTTCTTATAACTTAAAATAATCAATAAAAATGCTAAATGAAAGTTGATTCAACAGCTCATATATATCAAGTAGGGTTGAAAACCAATTTTTATTAAGCAAAAAAACTATAGAATATGTGTGTGATACTTAAATAAAGTTTAAAGTATAAACTTTATAGATGACAGTGAAATACTTAATGTTAAAAAATGATATTATTAGCTAATATTTCTAC